TTGTGTAGCCTCTGAAATTACTCTGAAGTTCTCTGAGTACTTCCCTCTGACTTAGGATGGGACAGTTGTTATGCCCAGCTATATTCTCGAGTCTCCTCCAACCCCACTCTCCATTCTCTCTTCTTTCTGTTTTTCAAAGGTAGTTTTGCATATTTATTGTTCTTCAAGTTCTTCAGATCATTTTCCTTGTCCCTTCAACATTGCTACATGAGATATCACTGAAACACATGTAGTATATGGTATACTTCAGAACTGATCCGGGCATGTGGCCAGCTTAACTAAAGAAAAATTAGTTTGTTTGTTTGGGCTATAACTTTCATACTGTCTACTAGGCAGAACCCTATTTGAATGTTTAATATGTAAAAAATAAAATTAAATTTCTGATGGACACCAATTATACAAGAAGTATCCCTGGCTTTCTAAGCCCCCTTTTTGGGTAATGTTGTTCCTCTTTTCAAGCTATCATTTTTATGCCTCTCTGTTCTTCCTTTGTTCTCTGCCTTCTACCCACTTACCACACCCATTCGCTTCTGGTATTTGAGCTATAGCTCCTTTTTGCAATTTGGGGCTTTTTCAGTCTTTTCAGAGGTCTAGTGCTTAACTGTATTTATCTGTGATCTTGGTAAACAGAACAAGTGTGTGTGTGTGTGTGTGTGTGTGTGTGTGTGGTGTGTGCGCGCACGTGCGTGTGTACTCAAGTGCATGTGAATAGGAAGCTTGCCACATTTCCTCCTTATCCCATAGAAAATGTGTTTTCTGGAAGCCCTTTTGACACTGAAGTGAATGCCCGCTAGCCCGCCCTTGCTGAATTCTCCTGAGAGGAGAGAGAGAGAGAGGCCTTTATTCTCGTTGTCATATCTTTTGTTTCTGCTGATTATACACAAAGTAAGTTGTAAATAGCTCTCTCACACACCATGATTCCTCTGAGGTATGTACAGGAGAGGAGATAGGCACTCAGCTTCAGCTCACCCTGGGGATTCCTCAGGGTCCCTTGCAAGGCTTGTCTGCTTCCTGTTACACCACTAGCAGGATGAAATCTGTCAGTTCTAGACAGTTATCATCCCATCATGAAACCTGTGGCATAATGTTTAGAAACATTAGCTAATCAGTTCACCATTTTTTTCTTTAACTGAAGTATTTATGTCTCTAAAAGCAAAACATACAATGATGCAAAAAGAATAAAAATGACAAGGCCACACAATCATAAATCACTCAACATTTTGTGAAAACCATTAACTTTGTTTTTGAATATAGCATTGAAACAGACAGTGATTGCCATTTTGAAGGTAGGTGGATAAAGTAGAATCCTCCCAATCAGCTTAAAATCTTTATTTCATACACTGGTAAGGTTTGCAACCATATTTTATTATCTTAATTTTTTAGTGAAGTAATTGTAAGGAAGTAGACAATTTATGTCTGCTGTTTCTGTCTTTTTTGTTTTTTTGCCAGTTGTGGGGCTTGAACTCAGGGCCTGGGTACTGTCCCTGTGCTTTTTTTGCTCAAGGCCAGCATTCTACCACTTGAGCCACAGTGCCACTTCTGGCTTTTTCTGTTTATGTGGCACTGTGGAATCAACCATCAAATGAATGCTTGGCAAGCATCCTACCACTAAACCACATTTCCAGCCCTCAGTCAATTTTTTTAACTGCTTATAAGTAGCTAGCTAACTTCTTGAGATTTCTAAATCAAAAGGCAGAATAAGATGTACCAAATCACAACTAATTTGAATTTCAACTTTTATGTCCTAAATATGGCTTGCCTTTTTAATAATCATTTGACAGAATTGAAAACACTGATTCTAGTGTTTGTGCTGAGGGTGTTGGATAGTGTTAGACTATAATTTATTAGTGAGCTATGCAGATTGCGTTGATTCTCAATTTGCTCATCTATAAAATATGAATCTATTTTCATGAATCCTTGCTTATTGTTTTTTTCTGCTTAGAAATTCTGGGATTCTAAGCTTGAAAGTGCCACCCACTTCCGTACTAGTTTCTTTTTGTGATTAGAATTGTTGTAACAAACTGGTAGCTTGCCACTGTTTTCCTCTCCAATGTACTCACAGACCTTTTAGTTTTCCCTCAGAAACTGTATTATTTCTAAGTGTCTGAAGTTGTAATTGAATGTAATTGTAGTTGTTTAACTTTCTCTTTTCCTCTTGAGAGTGTTTATAAAGTATATTTTGTGACTACAAGGATAAAAGGAGCTAGAAACATAGTATTTATGACATAGTCAAATAATATTAAGGTAAGTAGGAATTTGTTTTGTGTACACAAAATAAGGTATTGTTTATGTACAATTTGCCATATGTACATTCCAGCTCGTGGGATCTGCTTTAGTTAGTTAAATACTCACACTTGCTGAAATTGTATAAAAAGCTTCATTTCAATATGGAATATTCTAAGAATGGTTCCCTTTTCCTTTATCACCCCTTATAGGAATTACTGTTACAGAGCTCATTAGTGGCCCTCTATATGTCAATTGTTATCTACATGTGTGATACAAGACATTTGTAGTATCTCTTGTTATTCCTCAATGTAGCTAATTTTCATTTATATTGTTTGTACAGTACTAAACTAAATCTCAAATAATAGGTTCTGCTTTCTCTGTTTTTTGTTTTTTTTTTTTTTTGCTGGTTGTGGGACTTGAACTCTGGGCCTGGGCACTAAACCTCAGCTCTTCAGATAAAGGCTAGCGCCCTAACACTTGAGCCACAGTACCACTTCTGGCTTTTTCAGCTTATGTGGTGCTGAGGAATCAAACCCAGAGCCTCATGCATGCAAGGCAAGCTTTCTACCACTGAGCCACCTTCCCAGCCTTCTCTGGTTTTAAAAATACTTTTCATATGTAATATCAACAAATGTCTTTAGAGTTGTATGCCACCAAATATAGTTAGAATTAAAAAAAAAAGTTGCTTAGACTGGGTGCCAGTGCCTCATGCCTATAATCCTAGCTACTCAGGAGGCTGAGATCTGAACCATTTCCATTTAAAACCACCCTGAGCAGGAAAGTCCTTGAGGCTCTCTTATCTCCTATAAGGAAAAAAGGAAAGAAGCCAGAAGTGGAACTGTGCCTCAAGTGGTAAAGTGCCAGCCTTGAGAGAAAAAGCCAAAAGATAGAGCCCAGATACTGAGTTCAAGCCCTAGTGCCAGCACCAAAGTAAAAATGAAATAAAATTACTTTATTGCTCTCAATCTTTCTTTTCTATCTCATTTCTTAAATTTGAATATTGGCTTTATAACTTAATAGTGTGTAAGTCTGAGCTGCTTATCTATTCTATTCTAAGCCTTAGGTATTGCACAAGAAGTGATAATATTTTAAGACCATGAGGGGGAAAAAGATGGGTTAAATCTGTATATAAGATGTCTACATGCTTAGTCACATGGAACTTTATTGATGAAATTCATAGGAAAGAGCGGTTATTAACTAGAAGGTCTGATGATATATTCTACCTATTTCACCTGAGGGTGTAGGCTGGATAGAAGAATGAGAGATTTAAAGAGCAGTCTATGATCTGAAAATGTTTGGGAAGTTGACTGAGTATCTTTTTTCAGTTAGTGATATTCACTAGTGTCCAGCTTAATTTACTGAAAATTGTTTAAATATTGGATAGTGAATTTTGAGTCAAAAGAAAGAGCAAAACAATTAATGCAGTAGATTTGGGTAAAAATTCATCTGAACAAAGGGAATTGATTAGTACAGATGATCTTAACTGGAATAAAAAAAATCAAAACACCAAAGGAATGCTTTGGTAAGGAAAGAGATATAGGTAAGATGTCACATAGTGGATGGATTGAGATTTAGGAGCATCTAGGGAGACGATATGATTGGCAGGATAGTATATGTTTGCAAATAAGGAATAACAATTAGAGAAATTAATTTATTAACTAATTTATTCATGGTGCTATAGACTGAATCCAGAGCCTTCCACATGCGATCCAAGCACTCCCTACAGATTTACATCCACAGCCCCCTACTGAAAACTTTGAAAAGTTTAAATAGATTTAAATAAATATAGGTAACTTATACTTTTTATGTTGATGAGGTATCCTTCTGGAAAAAGATCTTTCAGTAGACTTTCAGTGTAGTAGAATTTTAGTTATAGAGAAATGGCCACTAAATTATAACTTTTGTTTTTACTATCCAAACATGTATACAAAACATAAAAACTTTATACTTTAAGCATAGTAAGCATGGGGAACTGGTGGATTTATTTAGTGGCAGAACACATGCCTATACCTAGCATGTGCCAGGCCCTAGGTTTGGTCTCTGGCACCAAAAACAAAAACAAGCACAGGGAAAAAACACAAAGAAACAAAAACCATGTATATACGTAAATAAATATTGATAAATAAGAGCCTGCTTATACTATCCTACATATATCAATAACAAGAAAAATTAATTTCAACAATTATTTTAAGGGATGAGAAGATCTTTAGCTATCAAAAAATTCAGTTTGTGTAATTCTCATCTAAGGCATTTGAACAACAGAGGGAAAAGGATGTGTCATCAATATCCACTGAGGATTGTGTATTGTAAATGAGGTGTGGTTTTTACACTCGTAGTTCCAAAACTAGGAGGAGGAGGATCACAGGTTTGATGCCCACTGGGCTACGTAGTGAGTTTCTGCCTCCAAAGAGAAAGGTGAGCATATGAGAGGAGAGGGAGAGGGACATTCAGAGTATTACATTCCAGTTGTTTTCTCTTACCTTATTTCTGTCCTTTATAAAGTGCATATTTTGTGCTGCATGATATGAATGTAATACTGAAGTAAAGATCACATAGATCTCTTCTTGCACTTTTTCTTATAATTAATAAATTAGGTTGTATGATATCCATAAGGTATTTGTTGACAGACCAAGAGTCAAATACATGTCAGGTTATCAGACCTGTTTCAGACCTATAGTCTGGGATGTCCCTGCTTTCTACCCGGTTCAAGTATGACTGCGTACAGTTCTTAGTGGCCTCCATACCCAGCGTCTAACCCAGCCATATTCCCTCAGGTACCACTGGCATGTGCTGGCAGAGTGCTGGGTGCAGACTTTTGCCCAAACCTGGAGGAGCCAGACCAGAGGCTGGAAGTCCAGGTTGGAGTCTTACTGTTTTATCAGCTGGGGGTGGTATGGCAGAAACAATGGTCCTAGAAGTACATATTGGTGTTACTGTACTATCAGGACAAGGCAACCATTAAGACAGGTATAAAGAAAAACAAATATACCACATATGCAGCTAAACTCCCTTTTTAGTATATGTAGTCTGTACCTAGAGGTCATTCATGGCTTATTAATTCTGAAGATATATTCTATATGGGAAAAATGAAGATTTGCTGTCTAGGTTTACAGAAGTTGCCATGACACTTGGCAAATAAATCAACCTAACTTACCCTTAATTTTCTCATCTGTATAAGGGAGATTTATCACAAAAGGTGGCATGAGGATTAAATGAACTAACATATCTAATAGCGTGGGGCCTGGGACATAAAAAGCATTCAATAGCTATTAGCCCTCGCATCTCTTCCAATTGTCATGCTTATGTACTGAGCACTGTGCTAGGCACGTGGGCAGTATGACAGTTAGCCATGTTTCTCACATTATGATCTTTCAAATCAGTAAAAATGCAGCTGTTCAGTGGACACTTCATAAGAAAACTAGTGCCTAATGAGAAGTTTTTTGTTTTTTTGTTTTTGTTTTGTTTTGTTTTCAGTGTATTGGGAGATGTGTGCAGAATACTTTCTCCCTGAAAATGTTGACTTGGGTTTCAGAAAGAGGCTCGTATGTTGCAAATTGGAAATATAACATGACAATAGTTGGAGGCATGTCTCCTCTTCTGTGTAATCTTTAATTTTTGAGGAATGTATATGCCATTGCAAAGATAACAGGCTGAACATTCATCTTCAACATAAAATGATTAAACTCATTTTTTTCTAACTCCTCCATTTGGCATCATTTTTAAAATTTTTAGGCATATGGGTTGAGCACAGTGAACTCAATCTTAAAACATTTTATTGATTTAGGTATGCCACATGAGAAGAGAGAGAACAGTTTTTAAAATTGACTTCTTCACTGTGTGAATGAGGGTGGGAGGTGGTTGCAGGGGGAGATTTCCGTTTTTATGGTACTGAAGGGTGCATCATCTTTTGCACACCTGCTCTTGGCCTAGGGAAGACCACGTGAGCTCTACTGTGTCCCAAGCTGGTACTGTCTGGGTGGTGTATGGCTATGATACAATAGAAAAGCAGGTGTGACACATATGACACATGATCATGTATTTCCTGGTTCTAGAAAGCTAACAGCTTGTGTGTGACACGTAAATACAGGGTGATTGAGGAGTTTTCCTGGGGAGGAGCCTGATCCTTGACCTCTTTAGGAAGGCGAGTAATGTTCTTCAAACACATCACCTGGAATGGTTTGCTATGGGTGATTGTTGGATAATCTGGTTTTTTGAACTTGAGTCTTGGTGTAAAGAGAATGGATTTTGCAGATGTGAGTATGTGTGAGATAAAACTGAAAAAGAAAAAAAATACTGAAAAAGATCTAATGAGCACATTATCCTGAAATAAAGGAGAAAGATACAAGTTTTAAGTAGGATTCTGGTTGTAGATAACTAGATAGTGTAGTTAGCAAATCAGCATGGGCCTTGTAAAGAAGAGCAAGGTAATGAAAATGGTATAAATATATTATTGGGTTTCTCCTTTTTTTCCCCTTTCAGGGCCTGGGGCTTGAACTCTGGGCCTGTACACTGTCCTTGAGCTCCTTTTGCTCAAGGTTAGCACTCTACCACTTGAGCCACAGTGCCACTTTGGGCCTTTGCTGTGATGAATTGGAGATAAGAGCCTAATGGATTTTGCTGCCCTGGCTGCTTGGAATTGGATCTTGAGATCTCAGCCTCCTGAGTAGCTAGGATTACAGGTGTGAGCCACAGGTGCCTAGCTTTGGGTTTCTCCTTTTATTAAATCTATTTTGGTATACTGAGGGGATAGATTCAGTCAGTTTAAAAAAATCGTCTATTATGGTAAATAGGTGAATCAACTAGAACCCATTGCAATCTTTTCTTCCTATTTTCCCTATTCTTCCCTAAACATGTTTCCATTTAAAAACTTGTATCAGTCCTAGTAAACTTAAAACTTTATATTCTTTCCTATCAATTCCAAAAGTCTTTTTTAGCTTGATCTCTTATTATTCTTGCCGTGTGTGTGTGTGTGTGTGTGTGTGTGTGTGTGTGTGTGTCCACATGAGGAAACAAACCCATTTCTTAATCTAACTCTACACTCCAGGAAACTCACTGTAAAGTTATCTACTTTTCTTACTTAGATGTCAGACTTCTCTCCAGGGCCAGACATTGTTACCACTAGTGGATTTACTGTTTGGCCTCTTGATTCTGAGAATAACTTCCTATACTACTCAATTTAGGAGCAATGATTTTATTTATATCTACTTCCTTACCAAGCATTTTCATTCAGACTCACCCTCCTCTATGTATGGTTCAGTTTAATACTTCAGTTTACATGAGTTCTTATTACTGGTGAAGTCTTTTCCTGCTCTTTCCTTCTTCTTTTGAAATCTTTGCCTCTTTATCCCTATAAAATTTCAATTAATGAGTAGCTTTGTGATCTAATAATCCCAAGGTTACCAACACTGTACTCAGTATATACTTTTGGTTTTGAATTACTGTCATCCTCATGTCTGTGACTGGCTTGATTTTTGCAAGGGTATCTCCTGTGTTTTTGGATTAATATGTTTCATTTTTGAATAGGTATAATCAAGATTTCAAGTCACCATCTAGTTTTGTCCATTTTCCTCAGGGGCTTTTGAAGTAGATATGCAACTGGGTGCCCCCTAGCTTTGGAGGTTAACTGATGTATATTAGCACTGAATTGTGCTCTTACACAATTACCTTTTAGGAAATGGTTATTCTAGTTTGGACTTCCCTTAATTGCTGATAAATATTTTATTTTTAATCAAAGAAAAGTTAATTTGCTTAATCTAACTGTGCCTCACCATGTATTAAGTTGTTAGGATTGCACGATTCTATCCTTGCTTGGGAATTCAAGATGTGTGTGAGGTTTGACTTGGTGTGTGTGTGTGTGTGTATGTGTGTGTGTATGTGTGTATGTGTGCATACACACACACACATATATTACTACTGAAGTGCTTAGAAAATTAGAGTAAATAATGAACCAATATTTCAATACCAGATTAGACCCCATTTACTGTGATGTTTCATAAACCACAGACTCCTTTCTTCTGTGAATGCATGAAGGATCACTTTTTTTTCCAGACATACCGGGGTGCAAGTGTAAATTTCCATAAAATTTAAATGAGGTGCTTCCTGTAATTAATGAACAATTGTGGCTGCTCTCTGGTCTGCATTGTAATTAACCGTGATCAGGCTTGTTTAGTGATGACACTGTTCCTGTAATAATTTGACAAGCTACTGTGAATTTGCCAGGTTATTAAACAACCTGCAGCATTCACTTATGGAATCGCAGGGATGAGCTCCATGGCTGCTGCTGCTAGTTAAATGCAGCATAAGGTTGAACTGAAAGCTACCCCTTGAAGTCTATCGATCACCACAAGCAGATTTAAATTCCTGTGTTTTAAAGAAGTTAATTAATTTTGTATGGGGTGTCTTGAAAACTTTTTATTACATGATAAACCTACTGGGGCAAAGCTGATCATTTTTATGAACTCATAATAAAGCTAGCAAATTCTCTATATTGTTAACACCAGTTTGGAATAAACAGAATCAGAGGTTTCTCTTACCACCTTATTAAAAGGGTAAAATTATTTATTTATGTTTAAACCTGTTCCCTCCCCCACATTCATTCACAACGTGCCGACAAATGTTAGTTTTTTCTGTCTTTCTCTTCTTATCTTTTTTTGTTGTTAGAAATAACAGATGACCTGTGCTAAACAGAGTCATATTGCAGGTAGAGAGCTCTAAGTGGATGGCAGCCTTATGTCCTTGGTCACTAGCGTACCCTCCCCCCCCCTGCACCCCCTCCCCGTAGCCCTTTCAGGTTAAGAACTGTTCAAAACATTACTGTCTAGTTACTGTGGTGTCTTTCATTCAGATTCTGTTTATTGACTAAACCACAAGGATTCCTGCCCAAAGTACCAGGCGGTCTATGCTTGACTGATTTTGATTTTCTAACATCAGCCCTGGGGTTTATTTGAAAAATGTACATACACTGCAGCTTTAGCAAGTCAAGTGACTGCATGCTTTTGACCATGGAGTAGAGTATATCTGAGGATCATTAAATTTTGGGGGGTGGGGTAGAGTGGAGAATAAATGTAGTAGTCATTGTACTATTGCAGACACACTGAAAGAGAGGAAGAGAGAGAGAGAGAGAGAGAGAGAGAGAGAGAGAGAGTCTGTGTGTGTGACACATGGTTTTTGTCTTTTCATCTTCTCCAAGAGCCAGAAAGTTTCCTGCCGCTCTCTTTCCAGCTATTGACAAATGATTGCCAGATGTGAGATCTTTGCAGTGTTCTTTCCCTCAGCAAACCTGCAGCGAAGGGATATTTGATTCTCCCTTGCCCATTTCATCTCCTTTCCACATCTGCCAGAGACACACAAGCAATACATCCCTACATGAGAGTTTAAAGTTTATTCAGCTCCCTTTCCCCCTCCAATAAAGTGTTTGGAGACAACAGAATGAGGTCCATATGATGCTCTCCCAACTTCACTATATGAAATTAGTTGTTTATTTTACTTATCTACCTCTGAGTAATTGAACGAATCCATTTTAGTTTCGGTCTATGGAAAATTTGATGTAAGTCTAGGAGTGCTAAGACTTTCCTATCGTCTTTCTGCAATCATGCCACCAGCACAATTTCCTCCAAGCCCCTCAGTTCTGATAAAACTTGACTGCCATTCCATAGGACTTACTAGTTAAGTTATTTTGATATAGACCTATCAAAATATTAAGTATGGAGTGTTTGGTAGAATTCAGTAATTATTTAGGATCTTAAAAAGCCATCTGGCTGGGGAGGGGAGCTACATCTTCTTTGGTTGGAATATTCTACCCTGCATTTGTATCTTTTGTCAAAGCTGATATGTATGAGGCCCTAGTTTTACTCATAAG